TTTCCCTCTATGTGTTTGCTGTGGTTTTGTCATTAAACAAAATTTTTGCTATTATTTCCTCATTATCTGCTAGGGATGTTGTTGTTTAGTCACTAAGTCTTGTCCTACTCTTTTGGGACCCCCATGGATTTTAGCCCACCAGGTTCCCTTGTCCGTGGGATTCTCCAGGCAAGAATACTGGAGTGGGTTGCCATTTTCTTCTCCAGGGGATCTTCCCAACTCAGGGATCAAACCCACGTCTCCTGTGTCTTCTGTATTGCAGGTGGATTCCTTACCACTGAGTACTAGGGAAGTCCCAAGAGGAATGTTAGGACCTAGTATTATTTTGGAATCCATCTCGTTCCAAGTTCAGCAGTAAAGAATCCACCTGTAATGCAGGAGACATAGGTTCAATCCCTGGGTCCTGAAGATCCCCTGAAGGAGGGCATGGCAACCCACTCCAGTATTTTTGCCTGGAGAATCCCAGGGATGGAGGAGCCTGGTGGGCTGCTGTCTACAGGGTCGCATACATGTGGAGAAGGAAATGGCAACCCACTCCAGTATTTTTGCCTGGAGAATCCCAGGGATGGAGGAGCCTGGTGGGCTGCTGTCTACGGGGTCGCATACATGTGGAGAAGGAAATGGCAACCCACTCCAGTATTCTTGCCTGGAGAATCCCAGGGATGGAGGAGCCTGGTGGGCTGCTGTCTACGGGGTCGCATACATGTGGAGAAGGAAATGGCAATCCACTCCAGTATTCTTGCCTGGAGAATCCCAGGGATGGAGGAGCCTGGTGGGCTGCTGTCTACGGGGTCGCATACATGTGGAGAAGGAAATGGCAATCCACTCCAGTATTTTTGCCTGGAGAATCCCAGGGATGGGGGAGCCTGGTGGGCTGCTGTCTACAGGGTCGCATACATGTGGAGAAGGAAATGGCAACCCACTCCAGTATTCTTGCCTGGAGAATCCCAGGGACGGGGGAGCCTGGTGGGCTGCCGTCTATGGGGTTGCACAGAGTCAGATACTTAGCAGCAGCAGCAGTTAAAAGCAACTCCTCCATTTAACCACGAGATGGCATGTGGGCCCTGGCATGCTGAGCCAACCAGCTCAAATTTCAGACCACACTCTATAGGCCCTGACAGAGTCAGTTGGAATTTGGAAGAAGTATGCCACCACTTCCCTAACCAACCATAACCGCATGTCACTTCAGGACTGATTCCTATTAAAGGCAAGAACAAAATATCAGGTTGGCCCAAAAGTTCTTTTGGGTTTTTCCATAAGATATTATGGGAAAAAATGAATGAATCTTTTGGTCAACCCAATACTTGATTAACCATCAAGGCAATAGTGGAAAATAAAATCAAACAGGTGACTACAAAAATAAGTCCACACAAGAGTCTATAAGTCGTGATTCCCCTAGACTCATTCTCTAGTTCCAGCCCACCTTCTTCTAAAAATGATGGCTTCTGCCAGGTTAAATGCCCCCAAAGCCCTCTAGTTTACTGCCTGTTCCTATCTGCAGGCTCATCACTGCTAAGATCCCCATCTTCCCTCCAAGCTCAATTCTCCAAAGTGCCATCAAAGGAAGTTCATCCATGTAGGTTCCGCCTAACCCACCAAGCAGAGAAACGGCTCACTCCTGCCAGACCAAAACCAAATTAAACATGCTGCCACTCTCCTCCCCCACAGTCTTATGAATCAATTCTGAACTTTGGGGGCAGACACTAGACACCTCTACAGAGGTTAAAAACTTCTAGTCTAGATTTCTCAAGCAAGCAAGACTTAAACCTGGACAGGTTTTCTTCACCTCTCCTTCCTCAGGTAAAAAGTTTTAAATCACAGAACTACAGTTGGCAAACCTGACCATTTTTGTTTGAAGTTCTCTTTTGGACTAACTGAATAACCATCGCCCATATATTTTTTTAATTTTTTGTCTTCAGTTTTTTAAATAAATCTGTTTAGCTTTGGCTGGGTCTTCATTGGTGTTCATGGACTTCTCTGGTTACAGACAGCAGGGGCTACTTCTCATTGAGCGTGTGGGCTTCTCGTTGCAGGCTTCTCTTGTTGTGGAGCACGAGCTATAGGACATGGAGGCTTAGTTGCTCCGTGGCATGTGGGATCTTCCCGGACCAGAGACCGAACCTATGTCCCCTGCATTGGCAGGCAGACTCCCAACCACTGGACCACTGGGAAAGTCCACACCCACATATTTTGAAGAGGTCTACTCTCAGTCAAATATTAAGTTTCTCTGCAACAGCTACTCTGGAAGCAGAGAGTAAATTATATGTTTGTTAGTCACTCAGTCGTGTCCTACTCTTTGTGACCCGATAGACTGTAGCCTATCAGGCTCCTCTGTCCATGGAATTCTCCAGGCAAGAACACTGAAGTGGGTTGCCATGCCCTTCTCCAGGGGGCATGATTAAAGATTAAAATTATATGTTTAGTCTTCCAGTAATCCATCATACACCTCTTAGAGGCAAGCCACATGCATTGCTTTTAAAATCTGGTCCAGCTTGTTTTTTAACCACTTCGTTACTGCATGACAATCTTTGAGTACATTCAACCAAATATTCTCAGGGGAAGTGGGGCTGGGCAGAGACAGAACATCAAGTGATGTCTGGTGAAAAAGGATGACAACTGCTTTCCCATGAATTTGATTTCAAAGAGTATCAGCAGAAGATATACTCCCAAGATATAGAAAGAACCTCTATAATTATTCATGAATCAAAAAGGTAGATTCACCTTCTGCCAATGCAGGGTACATTGGTTTGGCCCCTGGTTCAGGAAGATTCCACATGCTGTGGGGCAACTAAACTCATGCACCACAACTGAGCCGATATGTCCTAGAGCCCATGCTCTGCAACGAGAGAAGCCACCACAATGGGAAGCCGACGCACCACAACTAGAGTAGCCCTGACTTGTCCCAAGTAGAGAAAGCCCGTACGCGGCAACAAAGACCCAGCACAGCCAAAATAAATAAATATATTTTTTAAAAGGTAGATTCATGTGTTCCAATAAAATTTTATTTACAAAAACAGGTATGGGCCATAGTCTGCTTTAAAAACAGGCCTCAAAGGATTAAACTGATCTGAAAGTAAATTCACTATCTGCTAGAATAAAGGCCAAAATAAAGAAAGCAAAAGCCAGCAATATAACATTCAAAATGTAGGCCATCCTTTGTAGGTACAAGACCTACAAAGAATTGGAAAATGACCTTCTAAGAGAAAAATCATTGAGTAGAAGTTGACTCAGAAATGACAAATGATGGAATTAGCAGATTAGGACATTTTGAAAGCTACTTATAGTAAACAATTACATACAGAATGGATGGACAAGGTCCTACTGTATAGCACAGGAAACTATACTCAATGTCCTGAGATAAACCATAATGGAAAGGAATATAAAAAAGAATGTATAACTGAGTCACTTTGCTGGGCAGAAAAAATTAACACAACATTGTAAATCAATTATCCTTCAATAAAAAATAAAAATAATAAATTAATGATGCATCTCCCAACACACAAAAAAAAGCTATTATAAATTCTCAATGGAGTATAAGCTACAAAAATATTGAATCACCATGCTGCACAGCTGAAACTAATATAGTAAATCAACTATACTTCAGTGAGAATTATATTAAAAAATTTTAAACTAAAAGCTATTATAAACATGCTCTTGATGCTCAAGAATGTAAAGGAAAACACAAATACTGTGAGAGAAAGGACGTAAAAAAGAACAAAATGAAACCACTAAAGACAATGAAATATCTGAAATGAAAATTAACTGAAAAGGAATATTAATTTTTAAAAAGTAGCTACTTCAGAAAAAAAGATCAGTGAACTTGAAAAACAGCAATAGGATTTATACAGGAGGAAGAACAGAGAAGAAAAGAAATAAGTTTTTAAAAAGAACAGAACCTCAGTGACCTATGGAGTATCAAGATGTCTGAGAGACATGCCTGCCACAAACAACATGACGAAAACTACTCTAACTGTAAGGATAGAGGTTAAAGGTAAAAGGACAGGAAAAGACACACAATGACACAGTATCAGACAAAACAGGCTCCAGGACAACATTGCCCGATATAAAGGACATTTCACAATGGCAATTCAAGAGACAATTCAAAAAGACATAATAATCCTAAACGTGAATGCAGAAAGAAGCAATAATGGACGGACCTAAAAGGAGGCATATATGCAAACCCACAATTATAGTTGGTGATTTCAATATATCTCTCTCAGCAACTTATAGAAGTGGAGAGAAAAAAGCAATTAAGGATTTAGGAAACTTGAGCTCCACCGATGAATGTGACCTAACTGGCATTTATAGAACATTACAGCCTGCAGAATACACATTATTTTCAAGTGAACAGGGAACATTCACCCAGACCATGTGGTGGGCTATAAAACAAGCTTTAATAAATCTAAAAGGATTGAAATCATTCAGAGTATGTTCTCCAACCACAATGGAATTAAATTATAAATCAATAACAAAAGAATTAGAACAGTGCTTAGCAGCAGAAATATAATGCAAGCCACACATGTAATTTTAAATTTTCTACTAGCCACATTTTAAAAAGTAAAAACAGGTGGACTTAATTCTAATAATGTTTTATTTAACCCACTCTATCAAAAATATTCGCATTTCAACATGTAAGCAATATTTAAAAGTTGAGATAGTTTATATTTTTTCCATACTAAGTGTTCAAAATCCAGTAAGTTACTTAGAGCACAACTTGATTTAAACCAGGCACATCTCAAGTGCTCAATAGTCACATTTGGCTAGTGGCTACCACACCAGACAGCACAACTCTACAGTGTAGGTTAATAAATACATTAGAGCTGGTATTATAATTTTTAAAAAAGACTTTTTTTAAATGCAGACCATTTTTAAAGTCTTTAGTGAATTTGTTACAGTATTGTTTCTGCTTTATGTTTTGGTTTTTTGGCCATCAAGCATGTAGAATCTTAGCTCCCTGACCAGGGATCAAACCTGTACCCCCTACACTGGAAGGGCAAGTCTTAACCACTGGACCACCAGGGAAGACCCAAGGCTGGTAATTTTAATACCAATCTATGATAAGTTATCGTCCATGGGATTCTCCAGGTAAGAATACTGAAGTGGATTGCCATGCCCTCCTCCAGAGATCTTCCCGACCCAGGGCTTGAATCTGTATCTCTTACACCTCTCCTGGATTGGTAGGCAGGTTCTTTACCACTAGCACCACCTGGGAAGCCCCATAAGAAGTTATTGTGCTCCTCTCCCATTCCCCCACACCCAAAGGAAAAAAATCTTGCCTTGAAACAGACTTTTGAAACATTTAGGCCTATCTTAAAAAATATTAACACATCAATCATTGAGGTTTGCCAATTTGTCTTTAAACTTTTACTCTCTCACTCACCCCACTACCCCAGTGGGCAAAACACCTCCCAATTTCAGCCATCAATCTCAGATTGATCCACCACTCTTTCCTTGAATACCTGTTGGCTACTTTGGGGTTCTCCTGTTCTTAGGTCTGTCAGATGCCCCACTGCCTCCCTTTTATTTTTCCTGCACAGACACAAAAGCAAACAGGTCATTTGCCTCCTGGCAGTTTATCTCCACTCACTCATATTCTGGAGTCCATGGGGATAGCTTGTCATCTCATTATGTTGAAAGCGTTGTCCAGAGGCTTGGGGCTGCTACATTTTTATGTGGAGAGTAAAAAAATTCAAAAATATAAAAAAATAATCTATCATTCCAAAACGTGATATTCTAAGCATATGCATCTATTACTGATAAAACCAAAAATTTTAAGGACAGAGTATTGTCTGAACTCCTCTCTTGGCTTCATTTCTGGGTGCAAATGTAGAGTTCAGTTCAGTCGTGTCCAACTCTTTGCGACCCCATGGACCGCAGAGTGTCAGGCTTCCCTGTCCATCACCAACTCCCGGAGCTTGCTCAAACTAACGTCCATCAGGTCAGCAAGGCCATCCATCCTCTATCGTCCCCTCCTCCTCCTGCCTTCAATCCTTCCCAGGATCAGGGTCTTTACCAAATGAGTCAGTTCTTCACATCGGGTGGCCAAAGTATTGGAGCTTCAGCTTCAGCATCAGTCCTTGTAATGAATTTTCAGGACTGATTTCCTTTAGGACTGGTTTGATCTCCTTGGACTCTCAAGTCTTCTCCAACACCACAGTTCAAAAGCATCAATTCTTCGGCACTCAGCTCTCTTTATGGTCCAACTCTCACATCCATATGTGACTATGGGAAAAACCATAGCTTCGACTAGATGGACCTTTGTTGGCAAAGTAATGTCTCTGCTTTTTAATATGCTGTCTAGGTTTGCAAATGTGGAGTAAAGAGGACACAAAAAAGGATACAGGAGTGAAGGAGGAAGAAGAAGGAATCAAGGTAATACTTCGAACAAATGGCCTAAGGCCAAGGGGCCGGGCAGAGATGAAAACCTTGGATTCAAATCTAAAGATTACCTATCAGAGACAAGAAGAAGTTGAATAAAGTAGCTCTGAATAGTGAAATAGGACACATACACTGGAGATTCCTCAGAGACATAAAGGTGTTGTTAATGGAATTAAAAGTGGTTCAGACAACAGCTTCACTTTTTACTCAGCTGCTAAGATAAATACAGGCTTGAGGAGAAAAGCCTGGAAAACAATGGGCTATTGAGCCAGCTCAAATCCACCCTTTTGCACTGCCATGCGATACTGGAGTTGCAGCCTATAAACATTCCTCCTTCACCGGTGACACATTATTAGCACTGTCAGCAGGAGGCACTGGTGGGGCACTATAGGTGCAAGCAACTTCACTCCCGGTTCTGCTGCTATTCCTTCTTGTTCCTAACACATCATTGTCAGCATGTGGCTTTCTTGCCAGTAGGAGGCTTCTTGGCCAGTGGCACACACTCTCCTGAATTCAGCCAGTCACTCAAGAGGCAGCCTCCCTCCAACTGTCACAGGCATCCCAGCAAGTGACTTCCTAGCAAGTTTCCCCAGCACTCTGCCTGCCACTTTAAACTGTGGAACTTCAAGCAAATTTCTCCACCCAGTGAGCCACACCACATTGTCTTCAATGAGATCTGAATTTCAGCTTTGGGGGAGGAGGGAAAGGGCTCTTTCAAAAGTTCGTTCCTTCCTTGGGGGCTCTCTCAGTCTACAAGTAGTGGCTGCTCCCTACATCTGCTATTCAGGTATTCTTTAGAGATGTCAGCCCCTCTTAGCAGTTAATCCCGTTAAGCTATGCTGCAGGCTGTGTTGTCAACGTTTTGCAACCCCATGGACTGGAGCCCGCTAGGTTTCTACATCTATGGGACATTCTGGGCAAAAATACTTAAGTGGACAGCCATTTCCTCCTCCAGGGGATCTTCTTGACCCAGGGATTGAACCCACATCTCCTGCATTGGCAGGTGGATTCTTCACCACTGAGCCACCTGTAGTTAATAATTCTTCATATTCAATGTTAACTGTTCAAATTACTGGTATTTCAAATTACTGGTATTTCCTTCTTCTGAATGATCCTGAACCTTAAATGATAACACAATCATCAGTAAAATTTACAAGAGGATGTAAATTCTTCTTTTTTTGAGGATATATTTTTTAAATTGCTAAGAAAATTAAAACCAGGAGAGTCCATTTAGGAAATTAAAGGGGTCAGTGAGAAAGCACAAAATAGGATCACAGAACACCAAAGTCAGTAATTAACATACAAGCAATTGGATTTAAAATGCAGAGACTCTCCAAATGAGTTGAAATATAAAATCCAATAAGACACAACTAGAAGTTATATGAAAGCTAAATATAACAGGATAGGTAACAATTTATCAAGCAAATATAAACAAAGAGGACAAATATTCTAATATCAAAGAAAGTAAAATTTGAGGCAAAAAGCTTAAGTAGGACACAAATAACAACATCAGTAAGTCTTCCTTATGAACTGTACCTAACAGCACAGGTATTCATGTACTAAGAGTATCGAGACACACAAAACAAAAGCTAGACAAGGTGAAACTGAGAAAAGTAACTATAACAGGAGACTCTAGGACAATATTATTAGTCTATGGTCATTTATTAAAAAAATAAAATGAAAACTGAATTAAAAGTGGTTGAACAGATACACATTCACCTCTGTCACACACAAATTGAATAAACTTTCATTCAAGACACCCACAGAACACTCTTTAAAAATGCTAGGCCCCCAAACCTCAATAAATTCTTAAAAAAAGAAACCAAATAAGCCATATTTACTGTCAAGGTAAATATTTTACAAGTAGCAAAAAAATTTTTTTAAAGGCAAATCACACAGAAATTTTAAAATATTCTTAGCTATTAAACCAAAACACAAAGATAAACTACTTAGAAAACAAGACACATTATTATAGCTGGGATGTGAACATACCTGAAATTGGAGATAAGGAAAAGCCTTGAACATATTCAATTGTATATAAACAAAAAAGTATCAGATTTAAAAAGTTACAGGGAAAAAAATCTAGAGCAAACAAAGGAAATAATAAACACAAAATGAGAAAGTAGTACATTTTAAAACAAAGTCATAATTGATAAACAAATCCAGTTTTCTTTTTTAAGAGAAAAAAGATACCTTTAGAAAGTCTAATCAAGGAAAAGAAAATGGTAGAACTAAGAAAAGATAAATTTCTTACAAGTATCAAGTTTAATAGAAAAGAGACTTTTATTCTCTATTAAAAGTATCGAATGTGTTAAATTTCAACAAAATGAAAAGTTTTCTGGAAAAGTATAAATTATTTAAATTTAGTAGATAATAAACGCAAAAGAAGAAATACATTTTAAAACAAAAAACTTTTTAAATTTTAAAAACATACAAATAGCCACAAAAGAAACTGGAGTTATGAAGAATTTATTTCCTAAAAAGTCTGAACTCAAAAGTTTTGTAAGCACAGTTCTTCAATTTTTCATGAAACAAATCACTCTCATGCTATAATGTAACTGCTTAACATACAGTAAAATATATACAGGTATCCTATTCACTTTATAGAGCTAGCAAAATGCCTAACTCAAAACCGAGACGCTAGCCCAAAAGCCCAAACTCTCATGTAAAATGGCAATTTTCCTAAATAAAATATTAGATAATCAAATTCTATAGTAGCAATAGGGCAGTCACATTTTAGAAGAAATGAATTCTGAAGGACAGCCCACATTTCAAAACTAGTCTTCCCAGGGAAACTAACATAAAGATAGAGGATGCATGGTTGGAGAGTGTAAGTCTATAATCACTGTAGTGTACTTTTTTCTTTGAGACTGCTTTTTCTTATCTCACCATTATTTCTAATACTTCAAAGAGGGCTCTCACTATTCATAGTGGTGGTTTCTTTTGGGTCTTCATCACTTTAATTTCTGTCCCAAAGTTACTGAAACTTGAACATGCTTTTGATCACTAGTTTTAACAACACCACAGAATGAACGCATGTTTAAGAGAATACAATGAAAGTGAATGTTAAAACAGCCACCCAACATTGCCCCCAGAGGATGTTGGTAAAGAATCCCAGGCATTACAGGACACTGACAAAAGACAATGACACATCTGCTTATTATTAACAGCTAAAGCTGCACTACTAAGGGTTAAAATCATGAGCAGTTGACAAAGTCAAACTGCCAGCTTTGAAATGATGCAATTCTTGGTCATTTTTTAGAGTACAAGTATGTGCATTACTTCAAATTTTGAGAACAAAGTAACTATTAATATTATTTGATCAGTTATTTTTAAACCACGTAACTCAAGCTCACATAAGTAAACTAATATTTTTTTTAAAAAATCTTCTTTACTTAACTGACCTAATTCCAGGAGTTCAAAGATGGTTAGAAAATCTATCAAAGCATCATCAACAAATCAAATGGAAAAAAAAAAAAACACTAAACTGTATGATCATCTTAAGACACACCCAAAATGTGTATTTGACAAAATTTCAGAGCTATTTCTAATTCTTTAAACTCTAAAAAGAGGGTATTTCCTTTCTAAAGAAAATAATATCTGACTCAAAACAGCCAACCTAAAGGTAAAACACTATGGACATACCCATTAAAACCAAAAATATAATAAGAATGTCTACCACCATCATCATCATGATTATTGAACATTTCAGCCACCAAAACATGCAATAAAAATTCAAACTATTAGAAGAAACAACATTATCATTATCCATACAGGATGTCAAAATATTTCCTTAAAAAAACCATGTGAAGTTACTGAAAAAAGTACTAGAATATGAGGTGACTAAAAAAGTCAAAAAAGTGACTAGATAGGAGGAAAACACAAATATATTTATAAATACTATAGAATAATTACTGCTCAAATTCTTCCAACCTGTCTCCATCAGGACTGGCTCCACCCTAGTTTGAGTCATTATTGTTGTTTGCCTTGATTACTGCACCAGGCTCCCATGTTTAACCAGCTTCCTTATCTCCAGCCTGGTGAAACATACCGTATATCCACAGGATAAATCTGATTGTGTCATTACTTTGCATAGAATCTTCCCATAGCTTCTCGTCACAGAATAAGACCCAAGTTCCTTACCATTGCCTCCTATATGGCCCTATCCAGCCAGGTATCCCATACAAATGCCATTATTAACACTCAAGTCACACTGTCTTCCTTTCTGCTCCTCAAATACACCAAAGGTGCTTTGTGTTAGCGCTTTACTCTGCTGGTATTGCTGTTCCCTGGGATCTCACAAAGATGGCTCCTTTTAAGATGCCAAATACAGATAATTTGCCTATCTTCCAACCTAGAGCAGTCAGTCAGTCACTATGTCCTGTCACCCTATTTTAACTCTCCATTGAATCTAAAGTTCATGATTTGATACCTGCCCCTGTTTGGTACTTATTGCCATTAATGTCACCTCTGTGAGAGCAAGAACTTTTCTTAATAACATGTCACCTCTAAAACTTAAATAAGTCCCGGTGTGCAAGAAGAGTCATTCTTCTTCCCTGAATTTTCACTGTCAGTCATTTTCAACAGACTGTAAACTCCATAAAACCAGAAGGCGGTCTATTTTAGTCGCCATCTCCAGGACTCAGACACTGGCTAGACAGTCGACAATATCTGATGAATGAATGAATCCCTCATCTGCTCCCTTTAATCCCTAGCAGTCTAAGATTAAGCAAACTTTTTTGGTGAGTCCAAGATATCACTGGCTTATTTTGAACTTGTAGCCAAATAATGATTTCATATGAATTATTATAGTTAGATCTTTCCACCTCTACACACTCCCCAAATTCTACACTTGTGTGATTGACTTGTTAAGATAAACATTGAGCTTTCATAAAATTTGGTAGTATGGTTGGAATTAATCTTTAAAATGCCTTTGTCAAAAAACTGTTTACAAGAAAATAACAAGTCAAGAAAAATTAAATCTTTTGAGTCCTAATCCAGTCCTATCTGTGTAAGTAGCTGGGCAGAGAGGAGACCTGCCGATTGTTATACTGGGGGAAAAAAACAAAACTGAGGTATTAAAAAGTTAACCTTTCTTGTCAGTGTATAGAGAAATGATCATTCTATGCAAAAATGGTCAAAACTAACAAAGCCACAAAAGGACTGCCTCTTAAGGATTTAAATTAAGATACTGGATTGCCATTTTTATTATCCAAGAGTTACTCATTATCTGCTGGTTTGTGGGCACTCTAAGTATCTATTTCAAACAAAAGGCTACATTCTCAATTTTTTATATTCTGTTTTTATTCAAGAGTTTACTCACAGGCAGCACTTTAAAATCAGGCTTTTAAAATTAAAGGCCAAAACTAAAAAAATTTGCAAATAAGACACTGCTAAAAGAATGATCCTCTTAATAATTTAAACCCTAAAATGTCCTGTGGAATTAAAGTCTTTACACATAAATGCGTAAGATTGGTATCATTTAAAATAAACAATCGAAAAACCACAGATGGTGGGCAAATTTGTCAATGAAGATAAACAGCAGTTTCAGCCTTCCAGGGTCTGAACACCAGCAATTAATTCAGCTTGTGAGGGAATATGCTTCAGAATTTGGCCTTTAAAGTCTCTTTCTCCAACAGCAAATCAGCATATCTATGCTGAAGTTCCTTTTCTCTTTCCTGCTGTCGCTGAACATCTTCTTTTAGACACTTGAAGAAATAAAAACATTAATTATTTCATAGGTAAGCACACTGAAAATTAAAAATATCTTATGGTACTTTATAATCTTATAAACAGCTGAGTTAGGTCAACAGTTTCAAGAGTTAAGTATTCCCCAAAGAGAAATAAAAATAGCAACTACTTTTGCTATAAAACCAGTGCTGTGGCCACTCTTTGATTTGGTCATACATTTGCTAGCATTTGTACAATCTCTGCTATCTCAAATAAATAAGCCATCACTGTCCTATGAACACCCACCATGCACTTAAATAAGCCCTGGCTGACGTTTATCTGGGCATGGACTTTCATGCACATTTGGCAAATAAAGTTAAACCAAATCTGGCCAAAGGATTTGATGCTCTGGGATGACTAGCTATATTCTCAGCATTCTAAATTACAAAACAAAAAGACATCGGTTTAATTACCTCAGAAAGCTGTATGAATGGGATGCAATTAAGTTTCAGAGGGGGAAATCATAGGGTTGCTTATTCTATTTCATAGTGTATCTACATGGAAAACAAAAAATTAGTAAAGGAAAAGTCTCTGTGTATCCACAATGGCCTGGCCTATCCATCTACACACAGGCCATTCTAGATAAGAGAGTCAAAAATTTTAGGCTTTCATTGAAAAAAAGCCAGACAATGTCAAATGCAAACAATAGCTTGCACAGGCAGGGAAAAAAGGGAAACCCTGATTATTCTTCAGAGCTCTCTTTCTAAGCAGGACTGCAAGGCAATAATGGTACCTCTAGCCTCCGGGGAATAGCAGAATCTTCATGTTTCTTGAGTTCTTCAAAAGTGCGCAACTCCAAGTAAGCCTGCTCAATCTGGTCCCACAAGTCATTCAGCTGTTTCATGAGCCCCATCGCACGAGACTGGTAACCCCCAAGCAAGATTTTCATCTTCTTTTCCATCTTTGCAGCTCTCTTGGCTTCTGTCGTCATGTGACCCCTGTTTATCTGGGGGCCGGGGAAGATCACATCATGAGAAAAGCAGGCTCAATAATAGGACAAAAGGCATGACTGCTCATCTACTGCCTCAAAGCAAAAGTACAGAAGATGCGATCCCCATCTTATCACCTATGACATTTTTCACACAACCAGAGCAAAGCCACCTGGCCTTCCCAGGAGCTTGGAGGGCTACAGTTCATAGAGTTGCAAAGAGTCGGACATGACTGAAGCAACTTAGCATGCACACAGACTAAAGAATCCTAAAATCTATATGGAACCATATATGCCAGGCCCAGAATGCCAAAGCAATCCTGAGGAGAAAGAACAAAGCAGGAGGCATAACCCTCTCAGACTTCGGACAATATTACAAAGCTACAATAACCAAAACAGCATTGGTATTGGCACAAAAACACACAAATGGATCAACGAAACAGAATAGAGAGCCCAGAAACAAACTCATACACCTACAATTAATCTTCAACAAGGGCAGCAAGAATATACAATAAGGCAAAGACAGTCGCTTTAACAAGCAGTCTTGGGAAAGTTGGACAGCCACAAGTAAATGGGTGAACTCAGAAAACACCCTCATGCCTTATACAAAAATAAGCTCGAAATAGCTTAAAAGACTTAAAGACAAGACATGTTACCATAAAACTCCTAGAAGAGAACACAGGTAAAACATTCTCTGACGTAAATCATACTAATGTTTTCTTAGGTCAGTCCCCCAAGGCAATAGAAACAAAAGCAAAAATAAGCAAATGGGACCAAATCAAACTTTTGAGCCTTTACAGAGCAAAAAAAAAAAAAAAAACAATAAGCAAAATGAAAAGACAAACTAAGGACTGGGAGAAAATATTTGCAAATGATGTGACTGTCAAGGACTTAATTTCCAAATAGGCAAACAGCTCACATAACTTAATAGCAAAAATAAAAATAAAAAATAAAAACATGAGCAGAAGATCCAAATAGACATTTCTCCAAAACAGACTTACAGGTGGCTAAGAGGCACATAAAAACACTCATCATCACTAATTATTAAAGAAATGCAAGTCAAACCTACAATGAGGTACCAGCTGGTCAAAATGGCCATCACTAAAATGTCTACAAATAACATGCTGAAGAGGATGTAGAGAAAGAGAACCCTCCTCCTACACTGTTCGTGGGAATGTAAATTGATGCAGCGCTATGGAAAACAGTATGAAGGTTCTTCAAAAAACTAAAAATAGAGGACCATATGATCAAGCAATCCCACTCCTGGGCATTATCTGTGACAAAATTCTAATTCAAAAAGATACATGCACCCTTATGTTCACAGCAGCACAATTCACAATAACCAAGACGTGGAAAGAACCTAAATGTCCACAGACACATCAATAGATAAAGGAGATACCGTATATCTACATCTATATCTCTATCTATATATACACACACATGCACGATGCAATACCACTCAGCCACTAAAGGGCGAAATAATGCCATTTGCAGCAACATGGATGGACCTAGCGATTATCACAGTAAGCAAAGCAAGTCTGAAAGAAAAAGACAGATACCATACAATACTACTTATATGTGGAATCTCAAATATGACACAAATGAACTTACCTATGAAACAGAAACAGACGCACAGACATAAAGAAGAGACGTGTGGTTGCCAAGGGGGAGGGGCAGGAGGAGGATGCACTGGGAGTTTGGGGTTAGCAGATACAAAATATTATGTAGAGAATGGACAAATAACCAGATCATACTCTATAGCACAGGGAGCTATATTCAATATCCTGTAATAAACCACAATGGAAAAGGAAAAAAAAAGTACATTATTCTTATACTTCAACTACCATAATACAAAATTAGGCTTAAGAAGGGTTTCTCTTATACTTGAACAGTTTTACAGCTTAGTCCCAAATAAGTTATTCATAATAACTTCACCCATGATCCAAACTCAAAGCAGGCTTGAATTTCACAGTATGGGGAAAACTAATTTCTACCTCCAAAAATAACTCCTGCTATCATTAATCCTGGGGCTGGCAGTTTCGGGGGCTAGCAGCGATATATCTTCACCATCTGTATCTCAAAAAAGGACTTCCACATATTATACATCAAGCACATTTTAAATAACTGAATAATATTCAATTAATATACCACAGCTGTGATCAAAACAATCCCCTAAAAAGTACAAAATTACTAGATTGTTATAAAGTTATAATCTTAAACTTGGCATAAAACCCATAAAGGAGAGAATATCACATTTGACAACAACAAAAATGTTTTTAACTTTTGAGGAGCAAAAAGACTCCATAAAATTAAGAGAAATAACAATTTTCCTACTAAATATGTACAGTGAGCACAAGTGGGTTGCCTCTCAGATGATTCTAAAATTAGGTGAAAAGAATTTAAAGTGTATATATTCAAAAAGAACTGGAGAGGGACACTTAACAGAAGGTTTCAACAAAATTCTAGAGCTGCTACAGAGAAAGCCTCAGTTTAGAGGGTACAAGGAAAAGCTGAGAAGCAGCAGGCTGTGATGCAGAATTCCGTTAGTATAACACCTTCTCTGGGTGTACATTCTACATCCCACAATGTCATCACTTCACCATGATCTGCAAATACTTGTTTCCATCAATACTTGTAATTGTGAGGTCAAAGCCTCAGGAATACTTATTAAATCTGTGTCAATTTCTTTGTGTCCATTTCTCCCTGCAACTTCTTTCCTCTCTCCTACCACCATCCAAACTGATTCCATCAAGTGACTTCTAAAAGCAATCAAAGCTAAGTAGTTTCAGGATAACATATACCCAAATGATACTCTGTAATTCACAATAATATAATTGAGTACCCTGTAACAAGGGAGACAGTGTGACAAATTTTTTTTGACAATTTTTTTTCTAAAATACTAAATGGGGGAGGGGGCAGAATAAGTAGAAATGGTACCATGGGAAAATACTGTCAAATATACAATATTGATAAGAAAATTGTTCATAAGATGTTTTCTTAAATATTTAGAAACAATATAATCACCAAAACAAATATATAGCTTTCCATTAAACATTCACTTCAAAGCATTACATCTGATATAAAAATAAACATGTCGATCTCAATGCTTTCTTTTTTTTAAGAATATGTAAGAATATCAAGAAATGCCATGTTCCCCAAAATATAAAGTACACTTCTACTGGAAAAGTAGTACTTCATATCTATCCATCTCCAGGTTACTTTATTGAAGCCAAAGTCAAATAAGCTCAGGGCAGAGGGGGTGGCAGGGAAGGGACATGTTGTATGTGTCCCTTAAGAACATGATATGGATCTAAAATTAATTAACATAAAGCTCATTTAAAGCCATTCCTATCTTCAACATTTTATAAAAGTCACAATAACCTTTTATTCCTCTGCAATGCACTTAAAGACTAAATCCATTAATAAATAATGTCCTTTATAAAAGAGCCATTTTCCTCCAACAGATAACAAATTAAAATGAGTTCCACAGCAAAGATACATCTACTAAGAGTCAGGAAATACTGGAACAAGTCAGCAGTGCCGTGGAGTGAACTCAGTTGAGTCACTCAGCTGTTTTGAGTTGATGTAGGTTATTTAACCTCTGTATTTCCATTTCTCCATCAATAAAATGGCAGTTATCACTAAAAGTTACTATACACAGTACAGAAATGCCCTTAGCCACCCAGTAATATCTGGCACAAAGCAAGCAGTCCACAAATGTTAGCTCTGATTACAATTATTATAGGTTCTAAGAGGTTAACCATTTTGTTCTCCTCTCTAATGGACCAAGGGACTATGGATGACAATTTAAAACCCTCTTTTAAATTTCAACTTTAATTTTAAAAATGACAGAGATCTCTTCCTGGGAATACAGCAAGGAAAACAGAGCTGTTTCTTAAGTGAGCAGTCTGCCTCTTCAGGACCAGCACACCAAGTAACACGTACTGGAGTACATCTTTTTAGCCCAATGCTCAACCCCAGCTAACTTAAAAGGGGCTTCCTGGCAGATTAGATGGTTAAGAATCTGCCCGCAATGCAAGAGACCCGAGTTAACTCCTGGGCCGGAAAGATCCCCTGGGGAAGGGGTAGGCCGCCCACTCCAGTATTCTTGGGCTTCCCAGGTGGCTCAGCTGGTGAAGAATCTGCCTGCAAAGCGGGAGACCTGGGTTAGATCCCTGGGTTGGGAAGATCCCTTGAAGAAGGGAAAGACTACCCACTCCAGTGTTCAGGCCTGGAGAATTCCATGGACTGTATAATCCACGCGATTGCAGAGTCGGACATGACTGAGTGACATATGTATGTAGGTAAATTTAAGAAGTTAACTGTAGAGTTTTTAAAATCTATCAGTGCAGAGACTCTTATTTACATGGTCTCAGACTACTGTATTTTTAAAGCCCCCAGATGGCAGGAGGCAATCAGGACGGAGAATTCTGTTTCAGCCACTGTCATTACTGAAGCTAGGTGTCAGCTGTTTTCTCTTAACCAGGCCTACCAGAATGTCCTCATTTCCAAAAATAAGTGAACTAAATCCATAAGTTAGTTGCATCAAGTTCCTGATACTACAATTCAGTGTGTTCCAACAACAGCAACATTAGACACTCTATTCACATGTGGATTCAAATACACATTCCAAAAACCTTAACAGCAAAGAATTTCAATATATACAGTGCTTTTTAAAAAAATTAGTCACATAAATTATCATTTTTCATTGGCTAAGATAATTCAATTAGCTATACACTGCACGCCATGGAAATTCAATTTCCAATTTGGTGTAACAACATAACACTTAGCCTCAGAAAGTGTTTAATTAGTCATCAAGGCACATTTAGTATGACTGGTACCTTATATCTGGGAATTACCTCACCTCACACAGTTGAGTCATTTATTATTCCCAAAACACCAAAGATTTTAAAACTGCAAAGCTTCCATTTAATGTGAACAATTTTATTTAATTTAGCTCAAGCTTTATTAAAAAGTCTTCTGGCTCAAATACTGTGCTAGATTTCAAGCAAATATGG